ATAATTAAATCATAATTATTGTATGCTTGTTGTCTTATAATTTTATATTAATTATTACATTAATTGGGAAAAATTCTTCTATAAGAATTGGCAAATGGATATATTGGAGGATCGGGTTGCACGCCGCAACCGACTTATTAAAAGTCAATATTAGGGGATCGGATTGCACGCCGCAACAGACTTATTAAAAAGTCTATATATATTTGATTGAAATAAATATATAATAGACTTATTAAAAAGTTCATATTGGAGGATCGAGTTACACGCCGCAACAGACCTATTAAAAGTCAATATTGGGGGATCGGATTGCACGCCACAACAGACTTATTAAAAAGTCTATATATACTTGATTGAAATAAATATATAGCAGACTTGATTAAAATGAATATATTGGAGGAGCAGGTTGCACGCCGCAATAGAACCAAATGTGAATATATTGTGAGAGCGGGTTGCACGTTGCAATAGAATTGAATGTGAATATATTGTGAGAGCGGGTTGCACGCTGCAACAGAATTGNAGGCTCAGCACTTACCAGTACATGGGGTCGGTTGTACCGATACTACACTCTGCACTTCTTGTGCATATTTTAGAATTGGTCCCAGCGACGTACCATAGACTTACTCGGATTTCAGCTACTCAGAGGAGACTTGAGGTATAACTGCACGGCGTTCGCAGTTCTGAAGTCCCCGTCTACTTTACTTTAACTGTGTGTTTATTTTCAGACAGCTTTATTTTATTCAGACCTTTTTTTGTATTTATTCTAGAAGCTAGTACACTTGTGACACCAATTCTGGGATGGTATTTAAACACCATTGTTTTTATAGATTATTCACTATATTTTAGACTTTACTTTCGCATTTGTTCTTTGTTATTAATAAATTTAAAAATTATTTTTAAAATGGATAATATTATTCTAACGTTGTCTTGCCTAGCAAGTAAAATATTAGGCGCCATCACGGTGAGAAGGAGGGAATTTCGGGTCGTGACAATAGGAAAGTATAACTATCTGTAGAAACAAGAGTGTCATTAAACAAATATATCTTCACTTGCTCGGGGATCAACCTAGAGTACCATGGAAATGTTTGATGTTTGGGAATGCCAAGATTCACACTCTGGTTACAAATGCAGAATAGATTACTAATAGCAGATAGATTGAGCAAATGGGGCATGGAGATTAAAACCAAGTACAGTTTATGTTAGAAAGCGGAAGAAACTAGAGATCATTTATTTGTGGATTGTGAGTATATGAAGGCAGTGATGAACAAGATTATAAGCTGGACACATAACCAAAGCATAGTAGCAGGGAATTGAAAGCAACATGTGCAGGAAGTGATCAAACGAGCTAAAGGCAAATCAAAGGAAACTCAACTATTCAAGATGCTATATACAGAGATAGTGCGCTATATATGGATAGAGAGAAACAGAAGAATTTTTGAGAAGACAAGTGTGGGATGGGAGAGAATAGCCAAGGAGATAGCATGTGTTTGTTGTGTGCGAGCTCCTCCTAGAATAGTGAAAATAGTTCATAAATATAGATTCTAAAATATAAAATTAGGATGAGAAAGAGATTACTATAAATATGATAGTTAGCTGAGGTAGCTAGCTATGGCTCTTTTGTACAGCTTATTACTGGTGATTAATAAAAAAAGTTAGTTACCAAAAAAAAGAAATTGATCGATCATTTTATCATTTAAAAATATATATCATATTGGACAAAAAAAGTCATTTAATTAGTATTTTCTACGAGTAGTATTAAAAACGATGAAGTTAACTAAAATTTTGACTATTATATCTTTCCTTATTTAAAAATATAGGAACACATAACATTTAGGAATAATTTAATCCCAGTAAGATTTTACTTATATTAGTTAATTAAGTAAATTTTTATGAAAATTTATTTTAGGAATTATTACTTTATCAAAAACAATAATAATCCATATGACATTAGAAATCTTTCACTTCAAGATGCAAAGAGACTCTTAAATTAATTTGTTTTTTTATATTCAAGTGCAAATAATGACAAGAGGAAGAGACGAAAACTCTAAAATCAAAGTATACGGAAATCTAACTCAAGAGCTCAAGATATTGTCGGATTGCTAAAATTTTGAAGATCTAAGACTTGGGTTAGCTTTAGAATTGTAAGTTTGATATCGTGTTAATTTGTCAATATTTTTATTAGATTGGGAGCTTTTGGTTAATCTTTTTGTAGAAGATTTAAAAAGAGAAAAATATAACATGCTAAGTAATTGAAACAGATAGATAAAGAAATTGATCTAAAATGACCTGACATTTTAACCGTTTGAATACATTCTCTCTGCCTCAAGGTGTCTTATTATATGTATGAGTTGGTCAATATGATCATATTCAAGTGAAGTACATGTTATTTTTAAAAATGAAATTGAAATATTCAGACACTATACAATAGAAATTATTATATTTTAAAAATATTTACGAAGTACATTAAATTAGTTTGATAAAAATAATAGGTTTTTTTATTTCAAGATCACAAAGAGGAGGCAATTAATGTGTAAATGCAAAAATTTCGTAGTTGCCTTATTTACTCTTTTCGGACTAATCCTAGGAAAATATATTCTTTTATCTAGCATTAACTAGGAATCATGTGTCTCAATTATAAGTTATGGTGTTAACCACTATGCCGGAGCGTATTTGTTATTTAGGTTGCTAGCTAATGTGAAAAATATTAATAGCTATTGTCAACTCAAATAATTTCTTTTTAAGAAAATATTTTATCAAAATATTATCGTGAAGTTTCGCAGTTCTGGCATCGATAAATTTATATGGGTGATAGCTATAGCATGTAATTAAAAATAAATATCAAGCTAGAAAAATGCGTGACTAATATTATCCATCATAATTGAGCTAAAGGAAGTAAAAGCGTTACTCAACGTAATCTCTTTATCCTGATAATAATCATAACCGCTTATAAAGGATGGTGCGAGAACCTAAAGATATTCCTAATAAAATTTCAAATAAAAAGGTATATGAGGACTTTTATAGAGCAGATATCTTCCTTCCTTTATTCAAGAATTTACTTTAAAAAAACTATTTGATAAATCATACAATGAAAATATCTACTATATAATTTTTAAAAATTATATTCATTGATGCGAGGTACACGTGCAACGCGCGTACTTTATGACTAGTCACAGTTAAAAGGTACAACTCATATTTGCATGGGGACCAAACAATTTTGGTGGTGCCCACGTTTCATATGGGTAGCTCCTCCTCTTGTCGCCTCCAAATTTTAAATTTTTAATGCACTCGTTTCTTAGCTGTATTTTGGCAGCTACATATTCCTAATCACTTGCGGCGTACATAGGTCGGGTTTGTTTGGATTTTTTAATTACAAAACCAAATCAATGTATCGAGTTTAAATTTATAAACCAAATCAACAAATTCGGATTTTTCAGGTTTTCAGATTTTTTTCCTGTAAAATCTTCATAGCATAAAATATGTAACTTGTGCTTCAAATATTTCTTAAGTCTTAGTAAGATACAACTATATAATGTATTTTTCAAGAAAATAACATAATAATATGAAATAAGTCATAGCACTATACTAAAATATTTAATAAGAAAGATAATAAAATTACATAAAGCAAATATTGATAATTAATAAGTCATAATGAAAATTAACGTAATCTAAAAATACTATAGGTCATGCTACAATAATTATAACTAATAAGTACTATTAATTACATTATTAAGCACTAAAGAAAAAGATAAATTAAGTTATGCATTTTCATTATAAACCAATGTAAAATTAAAAATAGATCCAACACTATCGTCACTCCTAGTGTTGAATTGAATTTCTTTTGTTAGCATTAGTATTGATTTAAACTTTGTTTGAGTTACTACATTTATGGGCTATAAAATTTATTTATCATTCAAGAATGTTAAGTCAAAACTAGAAATAAAACGTTAAAAGATAAAACTGTGAAAAAATTTAAGAAATATTAATAAATTACATTACAATAAATATTTATATGTATATAATATTTATAAAAATTATATAAATGTACTATCGGGTTGGTTTGGTTTCGGTTATACTTTTTTTTAGTTAAAACCAAACCAATTAAGGTCGAATTGTTTTTCCAATACCAAACCAAATCAAACCAAACCATATCGGATTTTATTTTTCTTGGTTTGACTCGAATTATCAGTTTGGTGCAGTTTATCGGTTTTCTTTGTACACCCTTACTAATCATCTTTCTTCCTTGTAATTTCAGATGTTTCTTTTTTCCACAAAATTTATTGAGAAGCAGAAAAGATTTAACTAGGGTCAGAAAACCATAAAAACCAAACTTATCACATATGATTGGAATTGTTACCAATCATGAATTGCACCAAGAATGTGGCTTAACAATCAATAAGCGCAACCTGACGCATTAAGCTCCCGTTATACGCGGGGGGTCCGGAAAGGGCCGAATCATAAGGGTTTATCGTACGCAGCTTTACCCTGTATTTTTGCAAGAGGCTATTTCCACGGCTCAAAATCGTGACCTCCTGGTCACATGGCAGCAACTTTACCAGTTACGCCAAGGCAACCCTTTTTTTATCAATGAAATAAGGGTATCAATTACTGACGTCATCAATTACTGATTGGCAGCAACTTAACAGTTAACAATCAATGAAATAGATAATTAGAATTGTTATCAATTACTGACGTCATGTTTCGCTAGACCAAAATTAAATGCCAACGAAAAGAAATAAAAGCTAAGTCACTTCTTCTCATCCGCTTAAATGTTGATGGACAGAGCTACCCGACACATGTGTTGGTACAAGATAGCAAATACCTGATAAAATAGTCAAGATAATACAAGTTGACGCGAAGCGAACACTACCATTACACAAAAAGGGGGGAAATTAGCTAGTCTACTATTTTATAAAGTATGGCTTGGATCAGATTTATTTTTAAGTCTTAATCTTATAAGCACATGGACATGTGCTAATTCATGACAACTTGTTGAAGAAAGATTGTATTCCAATGAAAACTACATGAAGATTATCATCATTATCATCATCATCTGCTACACTGTTCTAGCAATTATTTATGTTTTATACATAAAAGATGTAAAAAGCGAAAATGTAGATTCTAACTAGTTAAATGTAAAACTCACTGAGGGGAGCAAAACTAGTTTATGAAATGCATCCCTATCTACTATCATTTCCTAAGTTCAGGAAGTGCCCAAAATAACAGCCTTCGCATCAATTCCTATATCAGTCCTGCTGCACTTCAACACCTCATCCTTGTACATTTGGATATCAAGAGTTCCGGTATTTGCTGCTGGTTTTGTTGAAATGTAGGGCAACTGAGCAGCAGCTTATTAGTATGGTGTGGACTTACCAAAGCGATATAACCAGTTAGCTGATGCCGGGCTGCATCATAGGGAAGATCCAGTTATTGCTTGACCCACCCTGCTTCCCGAGAACCTTCTCGTTGGCCCACCAGTCAGAGCCAATAGTAGCTTTATCAGGATATCCTCCATCCACATTGTCAAAGTTAAATTCCTTAGAGGATCCAAGAGTGATCGATCTGTGCTTCTGGTGCCTCTGTCCATCTTCTCCATCAGCAGAAGATCCCTCACGTGTTTCACTGGAAGGCTCATTCCCGTTGCACTCCTGTCCATTTGACATTTCAGCCAGGCTTTCCTCTCGTTTATTGTTACGTTCTACATCCTGGAGAGACATAGATCCAGTTTTCATCAACATCGTTGGCTTCTTTTCCACACACCTCACTACGTCTTCTGCAGTTATCTCGAAAGAAACTCTATGGTCGACCACTGTTAGATCATTTTTCCATCCATTAAGCGGCTTTGAAAGCCGAGGAACACCAGAGTTCTGATGATTGAGAAGGAAACTGTCGTGATACTTGGGGTATACTGTATCAGGGGTCAAAGTCCCAGATCCTTGCCGTGATCCCCATTCGTGAGGGGCTATTTTCTCCAGGTTCAGGAACTGAGGGCGTCCAGGATTAGACTCACGGTCAAGAAACGGAGATGAGGTTCCAGATACAGAAATGGCTGACCCAGGCGATATCAAATTGCTGACTGGACTCCCTGGTTGAAGTTGATATGATTGAAATTCATACTGAGCAAAAGGAAATCTATTACCAGCATCAACATTTTGGTGATTGGGGTCAAGAAGCTTAGCAAATGGTACCTCAGGCGATGAGGGTGTAGTCAAGTGGACTGACTCAGGTGGAGGGGTAAACGGAGCAGTTGATGGTTCAGTGGTGAATGTAGAGAACACAGGTGGAGATACCAGTTGAGGTTCATGAGCGTATGGCCCAATAGCAAAAATCGAGGCAGGTCCACTGGGAGAATATGTAGACATAGAGGAAAGGCATTTCGAGCCAACTGGTGAGTGGGTTGCGGAAGGAGGTTCTGATGGCAAGAAAGAAGCAGGAGATGAGGGAGGGGCAATGAAGGGAAGCACTATAGAAGGAGCTTGAGTTGAATTATCAGCAGCAGGTCTATCTGCCCCAGGGGCTGTTGTTTCAGGAACAAAAACTGCATGTCCGATTCGCTTTGTCTGTTTCTGAGACCCAAAACACCAATACATGCTCCAGCAGCTTCCCCATCTTCGTTTCTGTAGAACCAATTTGAAGTGCAAGAGATGATGAGATCTTCTCATAAAATAAACAAGTAACTTCAAAGCATTATGAAGATGTTAACACACAAAGTAAGTTTCTTCAGGAAAAGACCCGAAAGCAGAGAGGACAGGGAAGTAGAGAAAATAAAACAACCTTGTTTCTTGATGCTGTCTTAAAACAAGGATGAGTGCAATTTAATTGTTCCTTAGAATCAAATAGTCAAGGGAATAAAAGCAAAGAATATACACAAAGAACCTTGAATATGTTAGCCCTTCAATACAATTGAACAATCGAAGAAAATCGGAGGACAGATGATCTAATCTAGAGTAATATTCAAAGAGCTGAGAGAAATTATTATTAACCTTTAAGAATTAATTAAGTCAGTCCATTCAAACCAAATAATGTTCTGAGGCTGGAGGTCAACAGGCCTGGTCCTGGCTAAGGCAAGATGAGGTTTCTAAGCAAGGAACACCAGACAGCAGTGCGGGAATACAAACACTTGAGTTTGCAAATGTCACAAGAGTGTTAATCAAAATGACGGGATGCAGAAAAACTTCCCTGGTAGATTTCTACCTTGCATCCTTAAGGTGAAAGGTTCAATTCCCACCGCCTTCTTCCAATTCTTTTCCCCTTTCCCCTCCCAAAAATATTATAGGAGAAAGAGGGAAACAACAACACCAACAACAACAACCCAGTGGGATCCCACAAAGTATCATGCACATTCTAATATAAAAAGATCAATTGTAAACGTACAAGAACATTGAGAAAATTGTAAGCAACAACAACAACAAAAAAAAAAAACAGTGAATTCCCATAAATGGGGTATGGGGAGGGTAGTGTGTACGCAGACCTTACCCCTACCTTATAAAGATAGAGAGGTTGTTGTTGTTTCCAATAGACTTTGAGAAAATTGTAACAACAACAACATACTCAGTATTATCCCACATCGTGAGGTATGGGGAGCGTAGTGTGTACGCAGACCTTACCCCTACCCTGTGAGGATAGAGAGGTTGTTTCCAATAGACCCTCGGCAAAAGAAAATATTAAAAGAAATACGAGGCACCAGAAAACAAACTAGTATTTGTACAAATTTACTTAAGTGCCTCACATGCTGTGGCCTCTTCACTTGGCCTAGGAGGTATATCAACTCGCTCCTTGACTTTGACAAACTGGGAAACTGGCTATCATTTCAGCCTCATTTAGCGAAGCTATTCTACAGTTGATCTAATGAATTCAGGGAAGAGTTTTGACATCACAAACATGTACACTTCTAGCCTTTTGGAACATATTTAGACTTGTGAATGAAGCAATTTGTGGTATGAGACATTATCATCTTTGAGTAGGGGATCTGAGATTAAAACCTGTGGGAACTCTATAAACTGACCGCAGGTTTTTTTGATAGGTAATGTAATTTTTACTATAATAACAGTACCAAGAAAGTACTATAACAACAGTACCAAGAATTTTTGCTACAACACTCTTTCTGCACCAAAAGCAGAAATCACATAAGCATCTATATTTTACACGAGAAATATTTTCATTTTCTTCAAAAATAGAAATGCAGGTGTATTATATTAACTAGTAAGCTCAGTTGTGTAAATTCAACCGCTGGAAGAATATGATATCAGCATTTATTAAATCTGGAACCTCCAAGATTTCTGCTTACTTGAAAACGATAAATTACTCGAACCTCTGAAATCAGAGGCGGATCCAGGATTTGAAGTTTATGGGTTACTATTGTAATCTCAAATTAATATACAATAATAACTAGATTCACAGTTATATATTTATAGATATTTAATGGATTTTTTAAATAAAAATACAGGGTCTCCGCAAAAGTTACTGGGTTCCCGGGAACCCAATAACTATACTCTACATCCGCCACTGTCTGAAATGCATAACTGTGTATCGCATCTCTGCATCGCTTTAAGCAAGAAGGAACATACCTAATAACACTTTTTGATAGATAGCATTTTAGAACAAGATTAAGAAAAGATTACTACAGTTGACATGGCTGTAGATGCTATTTAAGGATGAGAAGGAATGTGGTGCCACTAGAAAAAGAGTTCATAAAGTGATAGATTTCCTTGATTTTGGATTGATTAAAAAGAAAGAAAGCAAATGATTTATGTATAAGTGACACTCCATTGACAGCATGCATATCACGAGCAGTGAAGAACTGAAGCATATTATCCAAACTTCCTAGTAATTACCTGTCTTACCATCACCAATTTCCAACAGGGGGTAAAGAATAAGAATACTTTCTTTTATGAGGGGGCAAAGAATAGTACTAACTTTCTCAATGAAGACACTTTTCTTTTAGTGAACTGCCATTCCAGAGAGTAATTTCTGTCATTGTGATTTTGTTTTTTTATGACCAAGAAATCCGTTTGGGGCCAACCCTTAGGACCAACCGCTGACTTCAAAACTTGGGAATAATGGACCTGCCCCTCCACCCTTCTCCACTTAAATACCAGGCTTACTTCGCATGGCACAAGGCTCAAACGTGTGACCTAAGTCACGAGTCCTTCAACCTTTGCCACTTGAACTAAGTCCCGGGGGGCTGTCATTGTGATAATTATCTGCACAATTCTTGAAAAGTTCCAAATATTTGCTATACAGAATGAAAATTGCAGATGTATCCCAAATTCGGACAGCGGAGACAGCATTAATACCAATTACAATCTTTCACCAGGATATACCAAGAAATTTCCAATTAGAAGATCAAATAACTCACATCATTCTTCACCAAATATAACAACATCTCTGTTCTTAATGCAAGGGACAAAAAATATACAAAAGTCCCCTGATCTATGAATCTCCATTGCAAAGCTTCAATTTTAACAAGTTAGACACCACCAAGACGCTTCAACTAATTTAACTTTGAGTTCAAAAATATTAATCTCGATCTACAAATTCCAAAAAGGAAACAAAACTGTAACCGGATTCAAATTCAAAGCGAAACACAAAACGATCTATAAATTCCAAAAAGACAAAAGAAAAACCATGATTTTTTCGTCAAACACACAATGATGTTTAAGCTCCTAAAAAAACTGTAACCGGATTGAAATCAAAGTGAAACATAAAATGACATTTATAAGTTGCAAAAAGAAATAATTAACTGTGACTGGATTCAAATCAAAGCGAAACACAAAATGATACTTAAAATTATTTTAAAAAACACGTAATCGGATTTAGATCAGAGTAAAACACACAATGATTTTTAAATTCCGAAAAAAAATGTAACTGGATTCAAATCAAAGTGAAACACAAAACGATCTATAAATTCCAAAACCCAAAATTTGCTGTAATCGAATTCAAATCGAAGTGAAATTTACCTGAACGGAAGCTTGAGGAACACGATTTTCAACCGAAGCGATCGCAGTAGCAGCAGCGTTTATAGTCTCCAGAGTACTATCCACTCCTCTCTGCTCTCCGTTCACTCCTCTCATCTTCTCCTCGCTTTGACACAACAAATCACCTCAATTCCTAAACTCCGACGACTCCTCAGCTCTATAACATCGCCGGACCTCACTTTTCCAATCGAAATACCAAAAATATATATATTCTCAGACAAAAAATCAAAGTAACCGAACAAATTTGTCTGCAAAATGTACACATATATATATCGTATATATTTAATATTTCATATGTATTATGTGTATGTATAGGCCATAGCTATGGTGGCTTTGGAGGTCAAACACGGCAATGACTTTAGCGTGATTTTTCTATAATTGGGAGCTATTATTATTAGTAAAAGGTAATTAAAAGGTTAATAAGTGATTGTGAAATGACGATAATGGGCTTCTTTGCAATTTAATAGAGGTAGGATGAATTGGGTGGTGTTTCACCTGAATTTTGCTAGCCACATTTAATGTATTTTCACTTCTTCTTTTTATCTTTTTTGCTTTAAATTTTATTTAAGATTTTGGTTTTCATTCTTAAATGCTAGGAGTACTACTTATCATTGTTGAATATGGTTGGTTTCGTTTAAAAATACAGTTGAATTTGAAAAATATATATTGATAATTTACTTTAGAAAAAAAATATTCCTAATCTTTTGTTATTTTGTGAGGTATAATATAGCAAGAATAATATTTTATTACTATCAAATGATCTATTCTGGATTTTTAGTTTGCAAGTAATTAACGAATTGAGCACAAGATCGACTTCGGCCAGTTTTTTTATCAATCTTCTGACATATATATTTTATATCTCTGTATTTAAAATTTGACACCGCAAATAGAATTGGTTAATTTATTTAATTGAAATCAACTATGTCTTGAATAGATCTTGAAAGAAATAATCTATTTGAAATCGCACATGATACTTACACTAAATTTATTAATTTATTATAATAAGTATTGAATTAAAGTGTGACAAGTGACTAAGCATGTCATTAGGATTTGATGCAAACATTAGACAAGTCGTTCTTTAAATCCTTTCATCCTTACTTTAATACATGAAAAAAATTAATAACTCAGTTCAAAATTTGATTTCTTTTGAAATAAATTAAATGCATGATAAAATAAATTCTACCTTATTCTTGAATTAGACAACCCATCATAATTTTTACATGAACTTAATTAATAATGACTTATCTCGACTTTCATGAGACTCACACTATATTAATAGTAAAGTTCAATTCAACCTAGAAAATATTAGACAATAAAAGATAAGAAGAAAATAAAATCATTGATAGTGACAATTCAAGAATTAAAAGAAACTATTAAAAACAAACAAGTCTAGTCAATATTGGCATCAATGTGCTATAAAATATGCTATCTTGAATTTAAAGTATATATGCAATAAGAGTCAACCTAATATTGGACCATACTTCTCATGAGGGAACAAAAATTTTATTATGCTTAGGGGATTAGTATAATTATTGAGGGTAATTTGGTCTTATTAGGACTACAACAAATTATTAATTTATAGATTAAGTAATAAAGTAGCTCATTTAAATTACCAAGGGAAACTTTTTGTTAGGCCAATGAGTGCGCACGTGTGCACATCCATTTTCTCGATGGCGTTATTATGCGCACCATCCTGGTTCTTTCCGGCGTAGGTTAGGCCCCACCCTTGAAAATTCTCGCTCGTTTACTCGCCCTCGCCCCCACTTGAACTAACGTGCACGCTTGGCTCATCGTTTTCTGCATTTTATAAAGTCGCTATTATTACTTCTTTTACTACTACTTGTTTATCATAGGCATCGACGAAAAGTACTTGGAGTAAATTACACTTAGAGGATTAAGAATATCTTTTTTTAAAAGCGGGCATAAAATATTTGAAAAAATATTTAATGGAGACTGAAATAGCAATAACAATAACAATGACAATAATAACAAACTCAATATAATCTCATAAGTAAAGTACAGTGTATTAACAATCTTACTCTTAATTTATAAAAATAAAAATATCTGTTTTTGTAGATCCTCGGCTCACAGAATGAGACCAAAATAGCCATTCTTGAAAATTGGAACAAGGCTTTTGTTTTCTTTTCTTTAATTTTTGGGCTCAATCCCCCTAAAAAGAAGCGAAGAGAAAAGAATAGGAAATTAAGAGAATAAATTTGAAAGACCTTCCTCTAAATTTGTCCTTGTAGCATTAATACAAAGATAAGAGATTATATTTTCGAGATAAAATATGTCTTGTAATTTTTTTGTTTTTTGGTATTAGCAATCTCGATATTTTATATTAATATTTTTGAAAAATTATTCCACGGAGACCGAAATAGTAATTCCTAACAAAATCTTGTTTCTCTCTTCTCCTTTCTTTCATTTCTTCACTCAAATCCCCCTAAAAAAAGCTTAGAAAAAATTAAAATAAATTGTAATAGTACGACATTACCTTTTTATAATTCTAAATGCGTTCTCACTTCAATTTTTGAAACTTTTGTGAAGTTAAAGTCCTAATTCCATATTTTTACCCTGTATCGTTGACATTTCCTACTTTTCGAGTTATAAATTTTCTTTACATTTTTTCCATGCGAACAGAAGTCAGTTATGGTATTGTAGAAATTTTCTAAAACAACACTGTAGTCATTCAAAAAAATTCTATCGAATTTTCTCTTTGCAAATTTCATTTCTCTTTTTCATTATTTAGACTCACTCTTCACATGTAAAATAAAAAATATCCAGATGCTATTTTTTCCTTCTTCTTTTTTCAATTTCATCTGCAGTCACAATCTCTCATCTTAAAATATTTAGAATAAAAAGGAAAATAAAAGGCAAGTTCCTCCTTTTTAGATAGTGATGAATGATAATGACAACTTGGAGTAAAGAACCTTTTCAAAACTAATAGCCTTTTCCATCTTTTTAACAGATCTTTTCACTATGATTTTAGACAGGACTTAAAAAGATTTACGGCTACTTTTCGAGATCATTACAGCTTTCATTAGGAGCTATAGACTAAGCAGGCGCTTGGACATAAAAATTAGTAGTATTATTTTTGGAAAAAAAAATAGTATTTGGAGTTAAGGTGAAAAATGGTATTTGAAATTTGAAATTATGTTTGGACATGCATTTCACTTGAAAAAAATTACAATTTAGTAAGTGGGAAAAATGGTTTTTCGGAAAATTTTGAAATTTGGTTTTTGAAAAACTTTTTTTCGAAATTTTTTTAAAAACTAGCAAAATTTCATGAACAAACACATTTAAAAAAAAATTATGGACAAACAAGGCCTAAGAAAAATTTGCTTTCGGTATGGATAAGTTTTACTCTCTTTTTCACACACATATAAAATGACTGATTGTTTGGATGCATAAGAAAAAATAATCGGTGTCATAACTAATGCATGTTTACTTAACGATATTAAATAATGTGGAAATCTATGTATTATTGCGGAGATAGAATGTGAAATAAGAATGTGTATATTAACAATACGACAATTAAACTATTTTAAAGATGAAAATACCTCTTACGGTAGATAATTCATGTATAAAGATTTTATTATTAGTAACCACCACAATTTATGTATTATAGTCTTAGCTAATATGTGAACCAAAAGAGTTATGGATAATGCTTTGGAGATTAAATAAAAATTGCCTTATTCTTAATTCTCTAATGATGGAGAACAAACCATGAATTATGGTCCAAACCTACAAATTGCCCTAATCATAGAAGGATATCTCGTCCTATCATATAAAAGAGAAGTTAAATATGGCATCTTTTTAAGTCGATATCATTCTCTCATTCACAACTACACAAGGAAAATGAAAGCTATACTCATGTACTTCATCAAAAGAGTAAATTCCCTACCCTCTTTTTTGCTATTTTTCCTTTATTCGCTTGATTCCTTTAACCCGAATGGAATAACAACAACAATAAAAAGTTCAGTATAATCTCATAGGGTGGGGTTTGGGGAGAGTAGTGTGTATGCAAACCTTATTCTTACCTTAAAAAAATAGAGAGGTTGTTTTCGGAAAACTCTCGACTCAAGAAAAGATAAAAGGAAGTCGTAGCAAGAAACAATATAATACTAGCACTACAATAAGACAACCGAAAATGGAGGAATAAGTCCAAGTAAAATTAAAAAGGACAGCTCCATACACAAAGTACTCCGTATTCATACAGAATCCGAAGAAGAGTCATATCTCAAGAGTATAATGTAGATAGTCTACGCTAATGCAAGTATCAGTGACCGGTTCTATGATAATATGTGCTTTATTTCCTCCTAATCTTCTTTTTTTTCTCTTTCTCTTCTCATAAGCCAAGTGTCAGAAGCTAGAGGTACTTTAGATTATTAAAGAAAACAACCAGGAGATATTTTTAAAAAGTTGGTGGGGAAGATGAGTATTTAGACCTGAATTTAGGCAAACTGATTATGACTAGCCATATTTATTTTATACAGACTCAGTAAACCATAAAAGTCAAGTTTGAAATCTAACCAAAATATTATTTGAGCAAAGTTACTCGGTATTCATGATGGTAGAAGATAATACGTATTCGACGAATTAGTCGATATGTGAACAAGTTAATTAGACCACAACTCAAAGGTAGGTCTTCACAAAATTTAACAAACATATTCTCGAAAATCAAATTCTAAAAAGGTAATATAAACACAATTTCTTTCCCAAGGATAATGTATTTTAAAAGAGTTTCTAAATTTTAATTTCAAAGACTTGTTAAAATTCA